CCAGGCTCTGGGTATCATTATAGTTGCAAAAGATTTTCTTTGGGTTCATTTCAAGTCACAATAACGTGTGTGTATCTTTTATACACTGAAGAAAAGCTCAGCCAATGCTGAATCTCAAACACGTCCACAGCCCCATGGAGAACAAGGTTAGATTTTCCCTCTTCACTTATTGTCTCAGCAAATGGTCCTTCTGTGTTACTTTGAAAAGGTTCTCCAAGCCTTCCAACATTCTAATAATCATGATCCTTCAGCTGATGCCACTGTAAAAGTTTGCAAAGCCTCTTTAACATGCAGAAACTCACACAGTAGCTAAAAACATTAGTCCTTCAACCAGGGCTGAGCAGAGGTGAAGAGTCAATTCTAAATATGCTAACTTTTTGTTGTTGTTAGCGTTATTGAGGAAAGCCTTACATATGATAAATTGCATCTAAAATGAATGAATTCTGGACATTGTAGACACCCATTAAGCCATCACCGTAGTCAAGACAGAGAACAATTCCATGAACCCTGAAAGGTTCCTCATTCATTTGAAGTTCTCCATTCTTCTCTCTGACCCTGGCCACAATGAGGAGTCACACACTCCTCACAACCTCAGAAAAGGCAAGTTTGAATGAGGTTAAATAGAACCTGACAGTTTATCTATTGCCACAATCGATTACTTTGCATTTTATATAATTTGAATAATAAATTATAAATTCTTTTTTTGTGACTTATTTAACTCAGCATGATGTTTTTGAGAGTTATCCAAGTTGTTGGAGATATTGGTGATCTCTTCCTTTTTACACCTGAGTAGTATTCAACTATCTGGTTACAGCATATTTTCGTCATTCATTTATCCGTTTACCTGTTAATGAATATTTTTCTTCTCCATCCCCCAGCTTTTGGCTATTTGAATGTTGCTGCTATGAACATTCATGTACAAGCCTTTTTTGTAGATCTATGTTTTCATTTCTCTTGTGTATATACCTAGGAGTACAATGGCCAGGTACTATGGTAGATATGTGAAAGTTTTAAGAAACTGACAAATTGTTTTTCAAAGTCATCATATCAGGCCGGGCATGGTGGCTCATGCCTGTAATCCCACCATTTTGAGAAGCCGAGGTGGATGGATCACTTGAGGCCAGGAGTTCAAGATCAGCCTGAGGAACATGAAGAAACCTCGTCTCAACTAAAAATACAAAAATTAGCTGGGTGTGATAGCATGTGCCTGTTATCCCAGCTACTGGGGAGGCTGAGACACGGCAATCACTTAAACCTAGGAGGTGGGGAGTGCAGTGAGCAGGTGAGCAGAGATTGTGCCACTGCACTCCAGCCTGGGCAACACTGAGAGACTCACTATCAAAAATAGGAAAAATAAAAACAAAACAAAGTCATCATATCATTTTACAGACCCACCTGTGGAGCCTAAAGCAAACTCATCTTGGATGATAATCCACCATGTTGATTTCTGATTAATCCCAGCCTGGGAATGCCTCTAAAATTTCTGTTTTATCTACTTTTTTTTTTTTTTAAAGAAAAGCACATACTGTAAATTGTGCCCTTGATTTACAGTAAATAAAGTAAGTACAGTAAGCCAAAATAACTTTGACCATAAATTTTGCACATAGATAGATTTATACAACATTCTTGCCTTTCCTTACAATTGTCTATACATTCCTTCTCTATGGTATTATAAGGCCTGCGTCTGAGGGTTAATGGCACAGGGTTCCACCATCTTTTCTCACCACTGCTGAAGACACAACCATAACTTCTGTTCCTAAGTCCCTGTTAAATATTTATTTCCAAAAAACTAGATATGTCTATCCCTTTTTTTCTGCCTCTCCACTTCCTTGGACTTTTGGGGTAGATTTAGACAAACGTATCCACTGTAGAATACCTCAGAAATGTATGAGATTTCCAGTTGCTCCATATCCTTGTTAATACTTGATATTATCAGGTTTTTTTTTTTTAAATTCGAGACATTTGAATGGATGGGTGGCATTTTACTGTGATTTAATTTGCATTTCCCTGATTACTAATTACGTTGAGCATATTTCCATGTGCTTGCTGGTCACAAATATATCATCTTTTATGATGTATCTGTTCAAATCCTTTTTCTGTTTTTAATTGAGCTCTTTATAGTCTTATTGAGAATTAAAATTATTTAAAATTATTGGTATATTCTCTATGTCTTTTGTGAAATACATGTATAGTCAATGACTTCTTTCATATGTAACCTGCTTTTTTGATTGTGCATTTTGAAGAACAAGTTTTTTTCTTTTGATAAAATCCAATTCATTGCTTTTATTGTTTGTTTTAATTTGCACTTTTCCTGTCTTTTGACTACTCCAAGGTCAAAAAGCATTTGTTTCTATGGTCATAAAGATATTACTCCTATGTTTTCCTCCAGGAGATTTATAATTTTACCTTTTACATTTCATCTATGATACATCTTGAGTTAATTTTTAAATATGGCTTGAGGTTAGGTGTGATTTTTATGTTTTTCCACATGGATATCAGATTTTTTCAGTACCTTTATTGAATAGACTTACCCTTTCCATTGAATTGCCTTGGTTCTTTTGCCAAAAATTAATTGACCATGTATACGTAAGTCTATTTCTAAACTCTGCAGTCTCTTTCATGGTCTATATCTCTATTCTTTAATTAATATTGTGATTTGTGTATAATTATTATAGTTATTGTGGCATTATAGTAAGTCATCAAATAAGTCTTTTAGCTTTGTTCTTTATTTTTAAACATTGTTTCATGTAGTCTAGGTCTTCACATTTCCAAACAGATTTTAGAATCAGCTTTGTCAATGTGTACTAAAATGTTTTTTGGGATTTTGATTGGGCTTTTATTGAATCTATAGATCAAAAGGGAGAAAACTGATATCTCAACAATGCTGACTCTTTCATTAATGAATATGACATTATTTGGGTCTTCTAATTCCTTTCAACAATGTTCTACAATATTCAGTGAAAGGACCTGGCATATCTTTGTTAAATTCACTTTGAAGTATTTCTGTTTTGGCAGTGCGTTTAAATGTTATTTAAAAGATATCTAAAATGTTATTTTCTTTCTTGAACCATAAAGTATCTAGAAGTGTGTTGTTTAATTGTCAAATACTAGGATTTTCCTAGATATTTTAAACATATTTTTAATCCTGTGTGGACAAAAAACATACTCTGTATGGTATCAAGGCTTCTAAAGTTATTGAGGCTTCTTTAATTGTCAAATGTATGATCATTTTTATTAAGCATATCATACACACAGGAAAAGAATGCTCAGTTTGCAGTAGTAGTTGGATATAATGTTCTACGAAGAGGAATTAGGGCAAGGTGGTTGATAATATTCAGATCCTCCATGGCTTGCTGATATTTTACTTAATTTTACTATCATTCCTAAGAGAAAGGTGTTAGAATCTCCTACTAAAATTGTGGAATTGTCATTTCCTGCCTTGTCAATTTTTAAATCATGTATTTAGTTACATTATTATTAGATACATACACACATACAATTTTTAGGTATTCTTGATTAGCCAGCTTTTTTATTATTATGATAGATTCCTCTTTATCTTTGTAATAATTTCTATCTTTACATCTATTTTTAACTGGTATTAATGCAACCAAATCAACATTCTTATGCTTACTGTTTGCTGGTTTATTTTTTTGCATCCATTTACCTTCACCCCATTTATGTCTTTATAATTAAATTGTATTTTTTATCAATAGAATATATTTGGGTCCTGCTTTATAATCAGTTCTGTTACTCTCTGCCTTTTAATTGAAGTGTTTAGTTCATTAACAGTTAATGTAATATTTTATCATTAGATTTGGATCTACCATATTATTATATTCTTTCTTTGCCGCTCTTTCACTTCTGGATTATTGCCCTTTCCTGCATTCATTTTTATTTATTGAATATCTTTAAGAATTCTATTTTAATTTTTATGTACTGGCCAAATTTTTTACATTATGTTCAGTGGTACTCTAGAGTAACAACTTTAACTTTTTACAGCATGCTTTTTGCTAACATTATACCACTTCATACAAAATAAAGAAACCTTATAGCCATGTTGTTTCATTAAATGTACTGACTTTTAACTTTCCTTAAGAATCAAAGTAAGAAGGTTCTTTGTAGTCATAATATTAAATCTTGTGGATTAATTTAACACTAATGGCTGAGGCTCTAGTAATAATTAATTGCAATTTTTTTTGTGACCACCAATCCTCCTAGTCATGATAGTTATGGTCCTCACCATGCTCATGGATCCCTGTAAGGGTAACTTCTATGACATAGCATCTGAGGAAGGAGCAGTTCATTTCTACTTTCTACTCAAGAGTGAGAGTAGACAGATCCTCAAGAAGTCTATCTACAGGCTTGGGTCTGGGAAGTAGTCTTAGGTGAAACCGTCTGCCCAGCTTTAAGCTATGGTAACTGTTTTTTCTGAGACTCACAGAGATAATTGACTTGGCATGTATGACTAGATAAATACAACGAAATAGGTTAAGAGACAATGAGGGACCATGAACAACTATGAGTTCATGGTGGAAACAGAAAAATTGAAAAATAGAAACTATGAGAAGGGAAAGAATAATTAATGGACGATACGGAAGCTGACTGGAGTGGTGATATGTTTTGGCTGTGTCTCAACCCAAATCTCTTCTTGAATTGTAGTTCCCATAATCCCTATGTTTTCTGGGAGTGACATGGTGGGAAGTAATTGAATCATGGGGGTGGTTACCCCCATACTGTTCTCATGATAGTGAGTGAGTTCTCAGAAGATCTGATGGTTTTATGGTTTTATAAAGGGCAGTTCCCCTGCACACGCTCACTTGCCTGCCACCATGTAAGACGTGCCTTTGCTCCTCCTTTGCTTTCCACCATAACTGTGAAGCCTCCCCAGTCATGTGGAACTGTGAGTCAATTAAACCTCTTTCTCTTTATAAATTACCCAGTCTTGGGTATTTCTTCATAGCAGTATATAAATAGACTAATACAGTAAACTGAGACAGTAGAGTGGGATACTACTATAAGGATACCCAACAATGTAGAAGTGACTTTGGAACTGGGTACAGGCAGAGTTTGGAACAGTTTGGAGGGCTCATAGGAAGACAGAGAAGACTGAAACTTCCTAGAGACTTGGAGGGCTCAGAAGAGAGGAAGGTGTGTGAAAATTTGGAACTTCCTAGAGACTTGTTGAATGGCTTTGACCAAAATCCTGATAGTGATATGGACAATAAAGTCCAGACTGAGGTGATCTCAGATGGAGATGAAGAACTTGCCGGGAACTGGAATAAAGGTAACTCTTGCTATGTTTTGGCAAAGAGACTGGCAGCATTTTGCCCCTGCCCTAGAAATCTGTGGAACTTTGAATATGAGAGAGATGATTTACAGTACCTGGCAGAAGAAATTTCTAATAGGCAAAGCATTCAAGAGGAAGCAGAGCATACAAGTTTGCTCTGACAATGAGGTAGAAAAGAAAAAATCATTTTCTGGGGAGAAATTCAAGCCTGTAGCAAAAATTTACACAAATAATGAGGAGCTGGATGTTAATCACCAAGACAATGGGAAAAATGTCTCCAGGACATGTCATAGACCTTCATGGCCACCCCTCCCATCAAAGGGCTGGAGGCCTAGAAGGGAAAAATGGTTTCCTGGGCTAGGCCCAGGGCCCTCCTGCTCTATGCAGCCTTAGGACATGATGGGTACCCTGTGTCCCAGATGCTTCAGCTCCAGCTGTGTCTAAAAGGGGCCAATGTACAGCTCAGGTCATTGCTTCAGAGAGTGTAAGCTCCAAGCTTTGGCAATTTACACATGGTGTTGAACCTGTGAGTGCACAGAAGTCAAGAATTTAGATTTGGGAACTGCTTCCTAGATTTCATAGAATGTATGGAAATGCCTGGATGTCCAGGCAGAAGTCTGCTGCAGAGGCAGGGCCCTCATGGAAAACTTCTGCTAGAACAGTGCAGAAGGAAAATGTGGAGTTGGAGCCCCCTTACAGAGTCCCCACTGGGGTGCTGCCTAGTGGAGCTATGAGAAGAGGGCCACTGGCCTCCAGACACCCGAATGGTAGATACACTGACAGCTTGTACCATGTGCCTGGAAGAGTCACAGACCCTCAAAATCAGCTCATTAAAGCATCTGAGGGGTGAGATGGGGAGGGGAGGTGGGGGCTGTACCCTGCAAAGCCACAGGGGTAGAGCTAACCAAGACCCATGGAAACCTACTTGCATTAATGTGACTTTGATGTGAGAAATGGAGTCAAAGGAGATCATTTTGGAGCTTTAAGATTTGACTGCCCTTCTGGATTTTAGACTTGTATTGGGTGTATAGCTCCTTCCTTTTGGCCAACTTCTCCCAATTGGAACAGGTATATTTACCCAGTGCCTTTACCCCTATTGTATCTAGGAAGGAACTAACTTGCTTTTTATTTTACAAGGTCATAGGTGGAAGAGACTTGCCTTATCTCAGATGAGACTTTGGACTGTGGACTTCTGAGTTAACGCTGAGATGAGTTAAGACTTTGGAGGGACTGCTGGGAAGGCATGATTGGTTTTGAAGTGTGATTACATAAGATTTGAGAGGGGCCAGGGATAGAACAATATGATTTGGCTGTGTCCCCACCCAAATTTCATCTTGAATTGTAGCTCCCATAATCCCTATGTGTCATGGGAGGGACACAGTGGGAAGTAAGTGAATCATGGAGGTGAGTTTTTCCATGCTGTTCTTGTGATAATGAATAAGTCTCATCATATCTGATGGTTTGATAAAGGGCAGTTCCCCTGCACATGCTCTCTTGCCTGCCACCATGTAAAATGTGGCTTTGCTCCTCCTTCACCTTCTGACATGATTGTGAAGCCTCCCCAGGCATGTGGAACTGTGAATCCATTAAACCTCTTCATAACAATATGAAAATGCATTAATACAAATAGGGACTGGGCACAGTGGCTCATGCCTATAATCCTGGCATTTTGGGAGGCTGAGGCAGCTGGATCACCTGAGGTCAGGTGTTCAAGTCCAGCCTAACCAACATGGAGAAACCCCATCTCTACTAAAAATACAAAAACTAGCTGGACATGGTGGCAGATGCCCGCAAATCCCAGTTACTCAACAGGCTGAGGCAGGAGAATCACTTAAAACCTGGGAGGCAGAGATTGTAGTGAGCCAAATTTACACCATTACACTCCAGCCTGGGCAACAAGAGTGAAACTCCATCTCAGAAAAAATAATAATACAAATGGGAAGAGACATACAAAAATCAGTTGAAAACACAGCAGAGTGTGAGCAAGTAACCATATGTATCCATAATGAAGCTCTGAAATGGCAATGTGATAGCTATTAGCATTGTTTATTCAATTTTTCTTTCCCTTCTAGGAACCTTGTAGGATTGCACTTCTAGTCTCTTTGAGGTTGGTTGTCACTATGTAACTATGCCTGGCCAACCTTTGAGTTTGAAAGAGTTTTCCTTTGTTTTTTCTCAAGAAAGAATTGCAAGAGAAAGTTTTGAATAAAAGAGATATGTCATTTCCAGAATGGGGCATTTGCTTGCTAAGGTGAGACCCTCCAGAAATTTCTCTCTCCTCCAGCACAGTGACCAACAATGTTCAGTATGGTAACTGCTCTATAAGCCAAAGACCTTCAGTAACCATTAGGAAGGGAGGGCCCTGTTGGCTAGCAGAAGGCAAGGAATACAAGTAAGAAATAAACCTTCATTGGTTTTGGCTATTTAAGTTTGGAGAGCTGTTTATTACATAGTATAACAAAATTCATCTTGATGGTAAAAGATCTATGAACTCTTGCTTCTGAAATTCCTAAAAGCAGCTTTGTTCTAGATGAAACTTTGTGACACCTCATCATAAACCACTTATTATTCCTGGGTTCCTGAGGGATCAACTATGGGTTGAATCATGCCCCCTGCTCCAAATTTATATGTTGAAGTTTAATTGTCAGTACCTGATAATGTGACTACATATAGAGACAGCATCTTTAAAGAGGTCATTAAGTTAAAATGAGGTCATAAGGGTGGGACCTTAATCCAATATGATTGGTGTTCTTATAAGAAAAGGAAGAGATACTAGGGAGGGTCACACAGAGGAAAGGCCACATAAGGACACAGCAAGAAGGTAGCTGCCTGCAAGCCAAGGAATTAGGCCTCACCAGAAACCAACCCTGCCTAAACCTTGTTCTTGGACTTCCAACCTCCAGGATATGAAAGAATAAAAGTCTGTTGTTTCAGCCTCCAGTTTCTGCTGTTTTATTACAGAAGACCTAGAGGGCTAATACAGGATCTATGTCTTCCTCATTGCCTTGTGTATCTTTATAATTAATCTTCACTGCTTGAGCTTGCCATAAACTCAGTTTCTTAAAACAAAAGCCTAACTAATTACTGACCCTTTATTTTTTTACCGTCAAGTTAAAAAAAAAAAAAAAGCACTGGAAGAGTCACAACATCATATAATAAAAAATGATTTTCCTGCATGCCACATAATGGAAAAGTACAAAGAATATCATAAAGACCTGTAGTCATCAACCTTAATCAAAAAATTAAATGATGAACCTAGTTCATTTTCTAGCTTATATTAAGGGGCTCTGGCATACTAAACTCTGTCATAGGGCAGTTTCTTGGCAACCACCTTCTCTGACTCTCTGACCACAAAAGGAAACTAAGAAGACCAGCATTTGCTTGCTGAGGTGAGACGCTCCAGAAATTTCTCTCTCCCTCAGTTACCTAGCAAGCTCTGCATAATGATATAAAAGGCAGAAGAGAGAAAGCTCTTTCACCTCATTCCTAAAGGAGGGGAAAAAAATACCTGAAGCCCAGATAGGGAAGTTAAACAAGGTGTTGACCCATGTTCATGGGGTTGAGATCTCTGAACATTCATTGTTCGTAAGTTCAGTAAACAGGGGCCAAGCTGGTGAACTGAATGGATGTGGGAAAATGTGATGAGGAGGAGAGAAAAGTGTGTGTGTGAATAAATCTTGTTTACTGACCTGGGTCACAACAATGATAATTCTTTAAGGAATTCTTTTTCAATGTAAAAAGTTTGAAACTCTTCTGAGCTTGAAGAAAGATGGAGGATTGCTGTAGTTCATAGCTGCAATTACCACCTACTGGCCAATGACTTTCAAATATGCATCTTGTTCAATCTCTGGCCCAGGCTCTAGACTTTCATTACTATCACTATTGAAAAATCCCTTTCAATTCCCTGTAGGTTTCTAAGACTCAACAACTAAAAACCAACATAATACTATCATCTACCCCCACCAATGCATCCATCCACCTGTTCCTCACCCATGGTGCCATCCAAACACCCACCTGAGTCTTGCATCCCTCAGTCTATGCAAATCCCTCTCCTCCTTCACTCCCTACATCACCTTGGAGAAAATGACTTTAGGACTATCTTTCACCATCTAGTGTCAGTTCACCTGCATGATACAAAAGGTAATTTAAAAACCACTTAACCTCAAAACTCTTTTAGCCATAAAAGCTAGCATTAATTATAACTGATAGATTTAAACTCACTTAAGACTAACTCTGTAATTTGCTTTTTCTGAGAAGGAGATTGCTCTGGCATAATGAAACAAGCAGTGCCTAACACTAAGTAGTAGCTCAGTAATATATTTTGATAAATGAATGAGTGGATGGATGGATGGATGGATGGATGGAGGGATAGAGAGATGGAGGATTAGAACTCAGGGGGCCTCTGGCTCCACGAGACATGACTGAACTTCATCATTAACATAAAGGAGTGAGATTTCATGGTATCTCAGCTCTCTCTGGTGGTATTAGCCTATTACATACTCACTAACAGCCAAAGCTGGTACTGGGTGATAAGGAGGAAATTATGGATTACCCCAGCCTGGAGGCAGGATCAATGGCTTCTCCCCTCACCCATATCCTGGATCTAGTGCCCCCATCCAGGCCTGTGCAACAGGTTCTACTGGACGTCATCCATGTATACAACCGTTGAGGAAGCTATAAGGAAATTGTCAGCCAGCACCTCCCAAACAGCCAACTCATGGGACTTTTCATATGACACCGGACATGTTTTTTTCCTACTGCAGCCCAACACACCCACAGCCCCTTAAGGATGCA